AGTGCATAAGGGTTAGTTTTGCTCTAGTATGGGCAACGACCTACAGATTAGGTCCTACAGTTGCTTATCGTGAGCGTGAAGACCTAGTGTCCTTCTCGCCTGTTAAGCAGCAAGTTGAGCAGGAAATTATATATAGTAAGTTGAGCAGCAGTTATAGACAATATACTTATTTATACGCATTTGTGATGTGTTCTATCATATTAGATGTATGCTTAGGTTGCGATGTGATTTATCATATTAAATGTATGATGAGGTTGGGATGTGCTTATCATATCATATGTATGTTTAGTTCGTGATGTTGCAGTTATAGTTAGTCAGTTGAGCAGCAATAAATAGTTAGCCAGTTGAGCATCAGTTATAGTTATCCAGTCGAGCAGAAATTATAGACAGGCAGCTGAACAACGGTTATAGACAGTCAGCTAAGTAACAGCTATAGGTAGTTTGTCGATTTTAAGTGCTTATTGGATGAATGCCTAATATGTTAGTAAAATGCTCATCATCATACTGTTTTCTTCCGAACCATTATGTACTTGCATATATGTCGATGTCATGATATGTTATTATATTAGTTGTATATTTCAGTGCCGGTTTCGGCGGAGCAAGTGGATTATTTATGCTCACGCCCCCTACTAACCATTTTTCAGGTGACGGTGTCGAGCGTAGAGCGTGAGCCGATGATGTGGTGGTGGTCATAGCAAAGATTTTTTAGTAAACATGTCTTGTATATTTTAGCATGTTTGAGCTATTATTTTTTGTTGATGCATGCTTACATTTGCTTCCGCACTCAGTATTTCAGTATCTAGAATTTCAGTCTATGCATGCTTAAATCCTGAGATGTTTAGAGTAATGGATTATACTCGGTTGCATGCCTAGTAGTTTAAAAATATTAAAGATTAAAGATTAAAGATTAAAGTTGAGTAGCATCCCGCATATTAAAGTTAAAGTATTTTCAAAAAATTAATATGAGTTTTCGAAAATTAAAACAGAGTTTTCCTTTTATAGCGTGAAAAATTTACTCTGATTTTAGTAAGTCTAGGCGGGGTGTTACAGTTGGTATCAGAGCCACTTAGTGGTTCTGTATACTGAAATTTTAGCGAGATATGACCACACGACGCTCACGCCACGCCGACTCCGAGGTACGTCACCTATACAGCTTTATTAATTGTGAATGCATATTTAATTATAGTCAGATTATTTCAGGGGCGTACGATCTATCCTTCGATTAAGATTGGAGAATTATAGTTAGAACTCTAGTCAGAACTTAGAAGATTTTAGTGTAACCGGAACTCTAGCCAAGGTAGGTGTTTTCGGAATTCGATAACTTATTAAAATATAGTGTAGCTATTTATTAATCGGTTATACTCCTTCAGTTAGAATTTAAGCAGAGATAGTTCACTTTGAGAATTTCTGTTAACTTTTCCGAGTAATTAATCCTCCGTCAAATATTCAATGCTTTCTGCTAATCCCTGTCATTTGACCATTCAGATGCCTCCTCGTCCAGCCCCGATTCCACGCCGAGCACGCTGCCCGAACCAGCTCCGCGTGCAGCATTACCCCTGCCGGACGCGCCAGTGCGCGACCAGGCCTTTTCAGTTTCTCAGTTCCGTGGATATCACCCCACGACGTTCAATGGGCAGGGAGACCCAAGGATGGTCGATGAGTGGCTGCGCAGTCTTGACATGATTTTCGTGGTGATGGATTGCCCCGAGCCTCACAGGATCATGTGTGCACATCTACAGATGATAGGGGATGCAGGTCTCTGGTGGCATTCATACTGGGAGATGCGACCCAGGGAGAAGCTAGCCCTCACTTGGGCTGGTTTGAAGGCGCTCCTCCGGGAGAAGTATTACCCGACCCACTACAGAGAGAGGATGGAGAGGCAGTTCTTATCACTGCAGCAGGATGCTAGGACTGTCGATGAGTACGACAGGGATCACTCATCTCGGCTCCTTCGTGCCATACCTGATTGGTACGGAGGAGACGAGGGAAAGACGCTTCAAAAGCGGTCTTAACGGGGAGATTCGCCACCATCTCGCTGGCCATGGCGCCTTGACATATGCTGAGATCGTCTCTCGGGCTCAGCAAATTGATGAGAGTCTCTGACTGGAGGCCATCCGCACCTGCACTGTCGCCCGCCAGCAGCCAGTTCAGCAGCCACCAGCACAGCATGCACCACTACAGCCGACTCTTCCTCAGCAGCCGCATCGCCCGAACAAGAGGAGATTTCGAGGTCGTGACGGCAGGGGAGAGGCCCCAGCTCAGGTAGCCCAGCCACCACAGCCAGTTCTACCAGCCTGCGCCACATGCGGACGCCCCCACCGAGGAGAGTGTTTAGCCGGACATGACGTTTGTTATCACTGCCACAGGCTTGGCCATACAGCCCGTACCTGCCTAGATCGTACTCAGAACCAGCATGGGCAGTACCAGCCGGCCCCGAACTAGCAGAGAGGAGCGTAGTTTTTATTTAGTTGCATTTGTCGTGTATCTGCCATCATGACTTATCTCTTGTGAACTCGTTGGACTCTTTTTGTTTTTCTTTCTTTGCGTGCTTTGTGACCCCTCTGAAATTGAAGTTTAAGACCCAAACATGTCGGATGTTTTTTTCTCAGCTCTGATTGAAATTCTCATTGCAATGTCTGAAATGTTTTAATGCTGCATGACCACGAACTAAGTTGTTTAGCATTTGTGTTCGCTAAGTACGAAAATTCTACACACAAATAAATAGAGGAGGTTCTGCGGTCAAGAGTGGACCAACATATGATCGGGAAGATACCCGAGTATTCTAGCCAAGAATAGAACTTAAGTTTCAAGTTTTAATTTCAGTTGCGTCTATTTAGTGCCGGTTTACAGTGTATAATAGTCACTATTCCGGGTGACCATGGCGGCTTGAAATAAGAGTCACTAAGTCGGGTATACCATGGAGGCTTGAAACTGGATCAGGACAAACATAGTTCTCCATACGAGATAACTTATGCTTGCCATAGGGAATTGTCTCGGAATTGCGGGTACACCGCACGCCGGTGCCGCATGTTGGTATGCCATGCTCGAGGGCCCCGGGTTGTTGGTGTGCCGCATTGCGACGTGCCGTGTGTAAAGTATCGCGTAGTCATGTGCCGAAAGGTACGATATAGAACTGGGTGGAGGCCAAGTGTCCTTATACCCCCAGATTTTGATGGAGTCCCAACGTACTCCGTCATGTTATACACCTGGTTTATTAGCCAAGTGTCTACAAATCCCAGATCCTGATGGAGTCCTAGTGAATTCCATCCAAATGTGCACACCCGACCAAGTGTTCGGGAGTGAGCAATGGAATCCAAGTGAATTCCATCCAAATGTGCACACCCGGCCAAGTGTTCGGGAGTGAGCAATGGAATCCCAGTGAATTCCATCCAAATGTGCACACCCGGCCAAGTGTTCGAGAGTGAGCAAGGGAATCCCAGTGAATTCCATCAAAATGTGCACACCCGACCAAGTGTTCGGGAGTGAGCAATGGAATCCCAGTGAGTTCCATCCAAATGTGCACACCCGGCCAAGTGTTCGGGAGTGAGCAATGACCTACAAGTAGGCCCTACCAGTTACATATCACCTGGTAGAGACCTTCTCCTAACCAGCCTACCCTGGTTAGCCTAACGTGAGTACAACAGACCTTGTCTAATCGGACCAGCCCGATCAGCCTGACGAGGTAGACATGCTCGTCTAATTGGAGAACCCGATCAGCCTGACGAAGCATGCGACAGACCCTATCTAATCGGACAAGTCCGATCAATCTAATACGGTTAACACTTTCGTCTAATCGAGTAGCACTCGATCAGCCTGACGAAGTGTACGGTAAATATTACATAATCGGGTAAAACTCGATCAGCCTGACAAGGTAGACCGCCAAAGTAAAGAATTACAACTCAGTTCTCCCTAAGATTAGGAGCGTCGCCATAGTTAAGGCGATGCTGCTAAGAGGGAAAAATAGGTTTCCTCTAAAGTTTTAATGTTCTGCTCTGGGACTTTCAAGAAGCACATAGCGAATTTTGGCATGGCCAAGATCACTAGTAGGAGGAAGACCGAATTTAAAGCTAAGAATATTAGTTTTGAGTTTTAACTTGTATTTTAGTTTTGCATTTCCGAGGACGGAAATGTTTTAAGGAGGATAGATTGTAACGCCCAGATTTTTATTTACT